GTAATTATTTTCCAAAAACTCTTACCCGGTTTTAGCATTTTCACCAGTTCCATTGGCCTGTGGAGGACAAAAAGGAAGTCACGAATCTCACAACACACATGAACTTACTGGCCATAATCGATCTTATAAAGGGCTGTGTACATTTTGTGCTGGGACTCTCTCACTATCACCTGCAGTATGCAGTGCACAACTTGCCTGTCTGCCAGGTCAACAATTGCTCCTTGCAGGTCCTAAGTTAGACTCTGGTAACGTTTCAGTGTTTCATCTTGGAGTATCCAGGAACATAAATATATATAAGAACAGCAGTTCTCAACTTCTTCATGCCACACATCTTTTTCTTTAAGTAAACTATTCTAGCAACATTGTGTGCGCCAAACCCTCTTCTGATGTAGAACTAGGGGAAGGACAGAAATTTCAATACCCTTTAACACAACTGAGCAACAGTTGAAGAAACTCAAATTCTGTCCATGGTAGAAGCATTCCAGGTAAAGCAGGATACAGCCTATTTCACTAACCCACATAGATCTATCTTCAGCATTTTACAAATGCCATGGCTCAGTTTTGTGTTTATTTTTGGGGGGGGAAAAAAAAGTCAAGAAGTACTGTTTGGAAGAATGCCGAAGTTTGGCACCTATTTCTTTAGGTCAAAGAAGAAAAAAAAGCCATGCACAGGGTTTCTCTCAAATGGAATTCAAAATTTTTTTCAGTTTCATTGGCATCAAAATTGCTATCAACTCCCTGGTGAATTGAAGAGCGTCCACATGGTCTGGGATAAAAGACTGGCTTCTAGTGCTGCATTCTCTTTTCTTGAATATCTAGAGAATAAATATTTGTAGTGGCTCAAGGATTATCTTTCCCTCTCTGAAGTGTAATAATAAAAAAAACTTATTCTAATGTAATAATACTAACAAAAATCAGTAGCATTTGTTCATTTAAAAGAGATGCAGAAGGTGGGCAGAAGCTTCATCTGGGTTTACTGAAGAGCTGATTATGATCATGTGCCACGACTTGGTCAGCTAACAGTATCCCTGGTGGTCCCACTGCCAACACACCTCTGCCAATCCTGCAAACAAGGTCCCATCAGCATTTTCTCGAAATTAAAATGAGAATGGCAAGAAAGGTGTCCTACGCTGTTTACAGTGGGAAAAAAAGTATATTCAGAAAGTTGTTTTTCTTTTCATGTTTACAATACTTTCTTTTTTTTTTTAGTAAATCAGTTGTCAGATTCTTTAAATCTTCAGCTTTTTACATGCTCATTGCTCAATCTACTCAACATCTATCTGCATGCTCCAGAACTCTTTCCCACCTTTGAAATATTATGGTAGCTCTGAAGAACAGTGGTCTGTGCTTTGGTCCAAGTTCATTAGAGATGAAAGAAATTCAGAGGACGGGAAAAGCAGACTGTGAGAAGGGCTTCCCTACTTTCTGTCTTTTGGAAATCAAGCAGAGAACACGAAACATAGTCCAATTAACTACACTCTTGAGGCAAAAACTAGGGAGTAAGAGACAAATACAGGCAGGACCCAGCAGGACAGGAAACCAAGACGGTGTGATGGGCACATCACCGTATAGCACAGTAGAAGACTGCAAAGTTAAACACTACCTCTTGCATCAGTAACTTTGCTACTCTATGCTCACCTTGGGAAAAATAAAAACACACACACAAACACACAACAATTAAGAAAGGAGGAAAGAAGGAATTAGGCTTTCTCATTACCTTTCGTCCATAACCTCCAAGTTAAGAACCCAAATCTCAGAGCAAAAGGGAATTGGGTGGGAGATAATGCTAACAGCAAGAATGGTTATTACCTGACAAATTATCTAAAAGGCACCTTTCCCCTCAAAGATTCTTAAATAGAGACAACACAAAGTGTTTACTTACTTGTCAGTTGTAGCAGCTATGCTAAAGCCATCAATAGCATTAAGAGGTGTAAGAAAAATGGCAAAAGTATCAAATTGATAAAACTAACATTTACAGTAGCAACACAGTAATGAGAAGTACTTATATAATAAAACTACCCACTTGGAAACAAAGATTAGTGAATACAGAAATGATAATCACTATTCGACTTTCTCTTTGGATATTTTATTTCATTAGTGGACAGAGAGAAATTCATAAAATGCTCAGAACATAAATAAAACTAGCGTAAGACTTTAAAGGATTCTTATGCCCTTCAGTTCTTTGCCTCAAAGCCAATGTTTTGCCTTCACCAAGGCACATACGCTTATAGGTCTGGGGAAGTTTTAGTCGATTCTACAGAAAAATTCTTCCAGTTCACTCATAACCAAAGTATGGAAGCAATTACAAAACCTGCTGACATTCTATCTTCCTCCCTTCTCTTCTATTAAGTCTGGAAGATACTTATCAAAGAGAATTAATGGAAAGCCTTCTGAGCAGTGAAGGTGGACACTGCTCCTGGTCTGCACTGGAGAGCTCAATCCACTGCAGCAGCTTCCAGATGCCTTAACTACACCTATGCCAGAACGAAAAGGTAATCAGTGTATGTGTCCAGACACTGGAGCATGGTCATTGCTATTGCTGCAATGGTCTCTGGCACACATCACAAGCAGGCAGCCAGTGCACAGCTGGTACATTCTGGAGGCAAGGAGAGTCTAGTATGAACATGATCTCGAGGACAAAAAATGGTCTTCAGCAGTTTTGGTCACTAATTAAGAGGTACTGTGAGAGCTTCCAGAATTCACTGAGCACAAACTCGGCAATGAAATTACTCCAGTAACTTCTAGTGGTAAATATTTGATGGACTGAGTACAAAGCATGGACAACACCAGCTGCTGTCAGGTGTGACTGTTCCTTTAGCCAGAGGACTTCCTCAACCCTCCTCTACCTGTCTGCAGGATTATAAACAATAATACTCCTCTTGATCATTGCCTCCATGAACAACCAACATATTCAACAGTTTCCCTTCATTTAGAATGGAAGCCTAAATATAATCATCCAGATTACTTTCTTGCTACCGCTTCCAGTGGCGCAGTTGCAATGCTGATAGAGAGAGCTTCTAAAATGATGCACAGAAGGGTTCACCATACTTGTTCCAATTTACTTGAGTCAATTACAAAAGCTTGTGATCAGTCTGTATGAGTTAAAACTCTCTGGTACAAAAACTCCAATAATGCCCTAGTTGCAGTTTGTGTTCTTTCAAACACAGATAATTTGCGAGTTTTAAGTATTTTTACAGAAAATTTCTATTAAAAGCAACAAGTGAACAAAAGAATTACAAAGAAACACAAGATACATTTCAAACAATTTTTTTCTGTATGAATAGGCTACCATTTCTTGCAGCAAATATTAAGCCTTTGTAAAACTTTTACATCTATTTCTGTATTTTTGCTATAGTTTATTACAAGTTCATTTCCAAAACAAAGTATAATTCAGTGAGTTACCTGGAACCTTCCTCCTGATCCTGTTGATGTACAGTTCAGAATTCAACATCAATGTCCAAGACATGCACTGACTTTTAATGCATAAAATTAACTCTGGATGCAGTCCATATATGCAGTACTTACATACAACACGTAGATACTTACAGACAATACGATATATATTAAATTGACACATACTTTCCAAGACTGGTAGGTACCAGATGGATCTGTTTGGTGCAGTTCAGGACTCCCACTGCTATCAAAGCCCACAGTCAAGGCAGATATACCAAAAGGTCTATAGCCATTGGCTTTGCGTGCAGCACTCTGGGAAAACTGACCAGTTTTGGCATCCCAGAAAATTATGAAATTTACTGACTCAATACAAGCAAAACAGAAGACTGAAAAAGCTCTTCATTTCCAATGCATCATAGAGCTTATTTCCAACCTTTAGAAGTTAGTCTGTGGTCAGTGTTCTAACTGCACAACTCCATTCAAGTAATGCACACGTAACTGAGGTAAAACAAGATTCACTGTAAAGAAACTACTCCCTGTTAAAACCACACAAACTACAGAAATTAAGGCTGAATCATATCATCGTTTAACATGATCTCAGGCACAGTTGTGAACAGATTTGAAGGAGCACCTCAGCTGGTTGCAATCAATCAGCCTGCTCACAGGTGTTCTGATAGTCTTTAGTATTTGAAAACAAGAAACTGCATCTGTGAATTTTACATTCAATTTGGCCTTTCACATTGCTCTCTTCTGTAAGGGATGTTATTACTGTCTTCTTTTTTAACTTTATATTTTTATCCCAATTCTTTTATACAGTAACATTGTTTGGTCTCTCTCCTTTATTATTTTCAAATTATACAATAAAGTTCTTCACAGATCTATACATATGTAGAACAGTTATGTTTGCTGATGCTCCTTAAAATAAAAGAGCTCATAAGGATGATTTTTCTTTTTGTAAAAAATGGTGATATTAATTTTTTTAAGAAAAGCAAAAAAACCCGTAACCTACCTTCATTTTTTTTTTTTTTACATATAATAGTTAAGAACTACCAGTTTGTTGTTAATACTGAGGATTGTCTGACACTTTTAAGCAGGAACCTACAAGTGTCAAACTACTTATCTGCTAAAGTTGCAAAGCAGTGTGTGATATATTCTACTGTGGCTGGACCCTCAAGAGTCAGTTTATGGCGCTGTTAATCACCATTCTGGCACCAGCAGCCAAGTCTGTATAATGATGGTGATAAAGTAATCACAAAGACTCTTTCATTAACTAGCAACAAATTCAACAAATTTAAAAAGAAGCAAACCATTGCAACTTTTTTTTAAAGTCAGAAACCGCTGAAGAAGCAATGTAGATGAAGACAGAGACAAATTCATAACAGCACACAGGAGTAACCTTCTTCTGAGAAATAGCAATTTTAAGTCAGTTTCAGGCCATAACAGTTTTTAAGTTTACAGAAAGTTCACTTGCAGAATTAAATATGGATTTAGCTGCTCCAAAAACACATATGAGAAGCACCCTCTTCCCTAGTGTACCACTCTCACCATCCCACAGTAGCAGGAAATGGGGCTACAGCTCCTTAATAGTGTGTAAAAAGAGACGGTTGCTGAGGTACATCTTTATTCTTCTTCATTACAAGCTACTGTAGAAAATCCAAAGCATAATACCACATTACAACTTCCCTGATGGTCAAGCCAGCTAAGTTCCTTACTTCCCAATTTCATAGTCAATCACTCTCTGGTGCAGTTCTTAATTCTACCATTCTCCCACAAAGTCATCTGCTTGTGAGGCCAGTGAAAACACAGTTTGCAAAAGTAAAAGATAATGAATTTTTTAAAGTTAGATCATTTTGATGAGCTGTTTACTACAAAAAGCTGAAAATTTCTTCAGTCACTTGGGCTCCCTTTCTTGGGGAGCAGCTCCATGTTCAGCATCAGCCAATGTAAGAGTACACTGCTATCCAAAAAGAGATTCTCCTGTCTCCTGCCCCTCACTTTATCTTTTCATTCTCTCTCTGGTTTAGGATTAACTGTTTTGCAGCTGTTAAGTCAGATCACTGTGTTGACCCAACTCAAAAGTAAATTTTTTTTGAAAAGCTTAGTTTTGTTTTTATCCCTTCCGAAAGCATGCAAAGAGGACAGTTTAACATCCTGATAGCACAACCTAAGTGGAGATTGCCACAAAATACAACAGTTCTGTTCTTCCCAAAAAGTTCCACACAGACATTCCTGCAGCTTCCCCTGAACTGGATTTAGCAATCACACAGCTTTGTGGCAACTCAACAAAGAAAAGAGTTCACTTTACATCAGATCAGTGAGTTTAGCACTGTTATCTTCAGTTACACCTTGCATGGTTGGATTGGTTAGGTGTAACATCAAATTGCACCCTCAGTGGGTGGCAATAATGGTTTGACCATCAAAAAAGGACAGTTCCATCTCCTCCTCCAACTTCTTCCTTCACTCCCCCTTTCCCTCACAGAGTTATTCACACATTGAATCAAACCAACAAGCAAATGAAGAGGGTTTTTCTTCTGTGAGGTTGGTGAGCTGAGTCAACTCACAAGGGCTCCAAAGCAGCCTCAGAAGGAGCACTGGGGGAGAGACTGCAGTGCCTAGGACAGAGCAGAAGCAGGAGAAGGAAGTGCCACACTCAGAAAGCACACACTAGTATGGGAATTTAGACTGATCTAAGTCAGTGCTACTGTGGCTTTCCTCTTTGAATTGCTTCCTCTGAGGCTCTGCTGGCTCTCACCTGGCCTGGGTGAGACACTGCAAGAAATCTTCTCTTCTTGGCTTATCTCTGCCCTGCAGAGCTTCCATCCTGGTTTACCTCAGCCCAGCCAGGCAGCAATGCCAACACAAAAATGACAGTGGAAGAGCACAGCCTAGGGTAAGACCTTTGCCTTGCAACTAGTGGCTTAGGGTAAGACCTTTGCCTTGCTAGTGGCAACTAGCCATGACCAGCCAGTTTAGTGGTCACACGGAACTATATGATGAGATGACATGAGATATGAGATGAATGCTCTAGGCTGTTTCACTTACAATATGCTGAGTTTCCATGCAGTTCTGCCTTCATTCAGTCCTCATCTGAAGGGAAATATTCTTTGTGGAGGCAAGTGTTTGAAAGTGTTGGCTTATACATGTATGGAACAGGGGTTTCATTTATGAAACAGACATGTCAAAAGGTAGCATCTAGGGCAGAGGAGGAGGAAGGCTGTGCAGATCTAAGCCCAAAGTTGTCTTCCAGGTGTCCAGGAATATTTCCAATATCATCCTGTCTTGTTTTGATGAATTTGATCTCTAGGTTTGCCTTTCTTGTCTCTTGCAGTCTGCCTATTGCCATTGCAACTAGCACAGAGCAATTTCTGCTATCCAAGAGGCTTGTCCCTGATGACAAGATGCTAAAAGAGGATTAGAAAAAAAACAGGACCATTAATTTTGAAAAATCAAAATGATTCCCACTAGCCCCATAAGAATCCTTCTTCTAGAATTAAATTAGTTATTTAGAAGGCTTGATAACCTCGTACCAATCTCGCAAACCATAGTTTCCATGTTCACAGTATTTTTCATAAATTCAGATTTTAAAGGTTTTGAGCAGTAGTACCTTACTCCTGCAAAAATATGCATACACTAATAGCTAACCTGTGTGTGACCATATTTAAAAATTATTAGAAGACTACTAGTATTTCATAATAAAGTGTAGATTACATTATTGGAAAAAAGATCCTTTTTTTATTCCTATAGAAAAAAACCACAAGAGGCATAGGCATTATTTTGGCCCACATTCCCATCAGCAAGGCTTCTAATTAGTCTTTCAATTTAGAATTTTTCTTGCTGATATTCAAAGCAAACTCAACTTGATTTTCAGACTGATTTAATAGTAAGATACATTGCTATTTTACTTGCAAAATATATTGCAATTATGGGACAACACTGTGATACTTTTCTAGAGTATCTTTTTAGATGAGAGGCATGCTTTAAAATTTTATGCTGAATAAAAGGAAAAGAGAGTGGTAAAAAGCATTGCTACATCCTTAAAACAACATAAATACTAGAAATCAACATAGTTACTATATTTTTTTCTGTTTTTCGATGCTGCTTATAGAAAATTGCAGCCAGTTCCTCTTTGTATGGTAGTTCAGAGGCAGTTTACCTATTTCTGTCATGTACTCCTTGTTGTCCTCATTTTAAGGGAAGATACAGGCCTATAGTTCCTACCTTGTAAATACCAACTACTGGACACTGTAATTAAACTGAATTTGTCTGTGCTCCCTGCTGCTCTTGGAGCTCAACCTTCCCTCACCTTTTGGCATGCCTACTCCTGTGAGCATGCAGGGAGAGCCTTCTGGTCAGGCAGGAGGACACCTCGTATGCCAGGGGCATACTCAAAGATTTTGTCATCATTTTGCCTGCCTGGAACAGTTGCACACCTGCTTTCCTCAGTGGCACAGCAGGGAAAGAGAGATGCTCCAGCAGCCATCATCCCTACAGACCAGACTTCTCCCTGTGGATGCAGTCTCCTTTTTTTCACAGCAGACCTCCTCTACTTTGAGGACCCTCTTCTTACAGACCACACTCACATGAAGCATTTCCTTCTCCTCCTTTTTTCTCCTACTTGAAAAGAAACACCTGTGCATAAATGCAAGGAGGTCTGCATGGATGAACACAAGCAAGGAGCTCCTGACAAAACCCAAACATAAAAATGAAGTGTACCACAGGTGGAAGCAGGGACAGGGGATCTGGTGGAATACAGAGACACCAAGCACGCAGAGAGGGGATATTTTACTAATCCCAACCCTAGTTAAGGCTTTAGACAGTATCTCTCAAAACAGTCTCATAGGCAAACTGATGAAATACAGACTAAATAAGTGTACAGTGAGGTGTACTGAGAATTAGCTGAACCGCCAGTCTAACAGGGTTGTGGCCAACAGTATGAAGTCCAGCTAGGGACCAGTCAACAGTGATGTATCTCGGAGGTCAATACTGGGGCCAATACTGTTTAACTTCTTCATTATTGATCTGGAGGACAGCAGAGAATTGGAACCTCAGCAAGTTTGCAGATGTTCCAAGAGTGGGAGGAGATATTGCCTACACCAAGTGGTGTATGTCTTTCAGAGGACCTCAACAGCTTGAAGAAATAGGCAGACATGAACCTCATGAAGTTTAACAAAGGGAAGAGCAAAGTCCTGTACCTGGGGAGTAACAACTCCATTCACCAGCTCACATGACCGCTCAAAGCAGCTTTGCAAAAAGTACCTGGAAATCTTGCTGGACAAGGTGAATGTGAGCAGCAATGTGCCCTTGCCGCAAGGGCCAAGAGCATCCTGGGCAGCACTGGAAAGAGCACCCCCAGCAGAATGAGGGGGGTCTTTTTTACTTTATGACATCAGGGTCTCTGAAAGGAAATTGCATGTGATATAATTTGTACTTTCTATATTCCCTCAGGGAGTTGTTGATTGGAATTGTGAGAGGGCGGTAGTACTGCCCTGTAGTAGTTCAGTCGTCTCCTCTGTCCTTCATGGTCATGAGTCTTCAGAAGGCTGGAGATGATGCAGATGATGCACAAGTGAGAGTCCCCAGGACAACAGTGTGCCTCTGCACTGCAAATGCGTTGCCTTTTAACAGATCTGGAAGTTCAGTGATCATCAAGATCACTGCTACCTTTTCTTCAGCACAGCTTGGCAGTGCCTTCTCATATTTGTCTTTTCTGCTTTGCTTTGAGCATTCAAAAAATGAGGAAGTTAGTGAACTGTAGCACTTTGCTTCTGTGTCCTAAAATAAAATATTAACCTCTAAGAATACTTAAAGAATTTTCAGCACTAAGGAGGCTTAGATTAGATGTTCTGCTATTTTTTATTTATAGCATATGTTCCAAGTAGCTGAAGATTCCCTTTTGAAGAATAAAATCAGGACATGGAAAGATTTTCTCACCTCAGATGTTGCACTTACTCCCATTACTGCAAACTGCTGAACCCGCTCTGAGCTTCTTTACTCTAAATATTTATACTTGCAGACTCAAACAACAGGTAGTAGAATAAAAATTTAGCATCCCAATGATTTTTTTCTGGGTTTGTTACTGCCCCTCTGGAATACGGCAAAGCCAGCAATATCCTTGTAGTGTGCACTGCTGCTTGGTACTTCGTTTTACACTAGAACACACAGGCTTGCATTTCAGGTGCTACTTCTTATTAATACTCAATACAATAGCCAGTGCAGAATAGAAACGACAAAATTGGGAGAAAAAAACCAGACAAGAACCTGGTAGAATAAATTCAAGACAAATTTATCCTGTTAGTGTGATCCCTTTTAGGAAGCAAGAAGCACCATTTACCCTAAACCCCACTCTGATACTGTTGTGTATTTTAATAACAAATTACTGTTTTTTAAATAAACAGAATTGGAACATCAGCCATTTACACAGGCAGACCTTCAGGTGCAAGCTGCCTTTTGCAACAAGATGAATTAACACAGAGACTGGGCATGTAGGAAATCCCAGAAAAGTTATGAGATCACCAAGTCCAGTTAGTGAAGAAATACTACACCAAAAATGGCATTTTTTACTTTTGCTATCTTCCTTTTCAATCTAACGAAAGACACTTCTTCCTTGGGATCTGCTCTGTTACCTGATGGCATTGCTGATGCTACAAAACACGTGCATAAACACACCCTTTTTTTTTTTAATTACAAGACAAAAAAGCTGTCTACCCTGAAAAGGAAGCTCAAATTCACTGTCATCCTATTAGCAGTGAATTCTGAGCTATCATACTACAGTAACAGAAGTGGGTGGGGTTTAGTCATTTGAAGTGAATGCACGAAATGAGGTTCTGTCACCAAAAGAACTGTTAAAGGCTTTGTCTAAGAAATGGCTGACTCTCTCGAATCATTCTTAACCTTCATACAGAAACCTTTAGCCAAGAAGGTCTTTAAGCAGGTGGTTCTACCACAAAATTCTTCGCTGTCCTCTTTCCTGTGTATATACCTTCATAAATACTAAGTTTGAAGTTTTTAAATTTTAAATGTACATTTGAAAACGTTGATGAAGCAGAATTCTGTATTTTCCTGCTTGTGAATGGGAATGTCCGTGACTTTATGGAAACTCGGATAATAAAGGTGGCAGAAAACAATTTGTTACCAAGAAATATGAGTTGGAAAACATGGGAAAAAATCTTTCAGAAAAGGACTGATCTTCCTCTGTCTGCATTCTTCTCTCTCCAAAAATATGACATATTCAAATGCACATCAACCAAACAAAAGACAACATTGACAAAAGTTGGAATAAGAGTTGGAAGAAAGATCTGACTGAAACATGTTTGCATTTGAAACTCTTTTTGGTGGTCGAGATTTATGCATCTAAATTACAATTAAATAATGTTAAGGTTATGAGTAACTCACAAGAGCGAAGAAATGTGCAATTAATGGGAAAATATACCATATGTCCTTTGATATCTAGGCATATTGCAGTGCATTAAGGAAGTCATAAAAGAGACACCCTGTTGTGGTTATGTGTTCTGAGACATGTGGCACATTTCCATTGTAGCTATCTATTTCCCTGCTTGTATGCATCTGTGCCATTATTTAAATGTTGATTTTGAATGTGAATTTCCCTTTCCATGGTAAAAAAACCAGAGCTGCAGATTCCTTTTTTTCAGTGTTTCTTTAGATCTGTTGCCATTTAGGAATGTGGAAGTCCAAAATGTTACACATATGAATGAAAAAATATCACAAATGGGAATAAATCGATTTAACTTAATCCTCAGACACATTTAAGGCAAAGGAGATGGGTTTAGTTACTATGAATGAATGATCTTATATCTTCCCTCTAAAAACTGACACACTTAAATTCCAAACACTGTTCTCCTGTAGTTTGCATAGAAATGGGAATTTACTAAAAAATTTTGTGTATTTAATTTGGATCATTTGGGAAAATACAATGGGAAATTACTACTTTAATTTAAGGTTCCTGAACTGTGGCATCCCACAAATGTATTTTTTTTTCCTTTACTCAAAACAAACCTGAAAATGTGGAAGAAGAGAATGGAACATTCAGATCCTAAAAGCAGTATTTATGTGGCTGGCATGTAACCCACATTGTCCCAAACACCGTGATCACCAAGATACCCCAGTGCACAATATTTTATGTACAGTGCTTGGGTAACCAGTGAATGACATCTAGATGTCATACTTGTGGAAACAGAGAAACATTTTGTGGCATTCCCAGTGTTCAGTGTACTTCAGGGGAACATGTTTGCTCTCCAGTTGCTGGAGATGCCTGTAGCCTTGGGACACTTTCAGACACATCACCAGTTCTCCAGGGCCAAGTATATGCTTCTGCCAAAAAAATAAGTCCTCAGAATTCTGTTAGTAACTGCCTAGGAGATGGTACCTTCTGATTACCTGCTGATTTGGCCATGGCCATCATGCATTTTTCATTCCTAGGATTCTTCATTGCAGTTTGTAGTAACTAGAAAAAGTGTCCTTTGGAACACAGAGATATTAGAACAGTTACCCTATGGGTTCACTCCAAGATCATACAAAATAACCATGAATCACCATGAAGCATATCAACTCTAGAAAAAACAGGTTTCCTCAACCCTTTTTTCTGTTTTTGGTTTCCTACAAGTATTATAGTGATGATGATAAAGTGTGTGGGAGACAGAAGAAATGGACCAAAATAGTCCAAAAAAATGTATCCAGATACCATGGTGATGAGTGAAGTCGTCAGAAATACAATCAGCCTAATGGACACACTGGCATTGTTCCTCCTTAGCATGACCTACAGTGTCAGGATTGGGCCAGAGACATCTCCTGGAGAGAAAAGCAAGCCAGATTAGCATCACATCAACTCAAGGTCCTGTATAATCTGAAGAGACAGGGCAGAAGAAGTGCCATTCTGGTAACAGAGAGCATAAGGCCCAGGCAGTGGGCCCTTGGAGAGCCTGATGCTGTAGGAATGCAAGAACAGCTTGGAGCCAGCAGCCTGGGAACTGGTTGTCAAGGGAAAAAAGCAGGGGGTGATGGGCAGCTGCAGTGCACCCTTGGACAGCAGAGCCAGGAAGAGTAATCTTCATGGGGCTGGGGAAAGGAGCCAGCCTAGGAACAGTCTGAGGAGACAGCGTGCCAGTTGGGAAGCAGCTGTACAGCCACGGGGTGGCCATGGATGCCACTGACAAATGTGTGCTGTAACCCAAAGGGCTGGCTAGGGCTGCAGGGAAGAGCCAGGGCCTTCAGCCAGCAACAGCTGAGGAACAGAGCAAGCAACGCACCGAGTAAGGACCAAGATGCACGTTTTGTGTTGTAGTGTCCTGTCATCGAGTAGCGAGTGTCCTGTCAGCCACAGCAGCACACACCTCTGCCAGCCACAAGAGCAGGGATCAGTCTGCAAAAGGCAGGGAATTCTACCCACAGCCTACAGTGTGGCTAAGCAGGGCATGTGATCAGGAAAAAGCAGGTTTAAAATGCTTTAGCTGGGGTCTTTCAACGTCCCTGTACCCTCTATGAAACTCCTCATTCTTCTAAAGAATTGTGTTAGACTTTGCAAACTTGCTCATGAGGCTCTTTGGCAAAACCGAGATTCCCTCCAGTGGCTGCACTGAAACAAACCAAGGCTGGTTTCAGCACTGCCAGCGTCTGCCATTTATATTCAAAATTGCAGCAGGAGCTGCTTTTCCTTGCTTCGTTTCGCTCCCACTCCCTGCGGCCGCTCAGCTCGGCAGGGAAAAGCAGCCCCAGGTCAGCGAGCTGGAGATCATCCAGTCCAACCCCCTGCCAAGGCAGGGTCACCGACAGCAGGTGACACAGGAACGCGTCCAGGTGGGTTTGGAATGTCTCCAGAGCGGGAGACTCCACGGCCTCCCCGGGCAGCCTGTTCCAGTGGGCTGCCAGCCTCAGCGTAAAGTTCTTCCTCATGTTGAGATGGAACTTCTTGTGTTTTATTTTAGGGCCATTGCTCCTCATCCTGTCGCTGGGCACCAATGAAAAGAGTCTGGCACCATCCTCTTGCATCGCACGTGGCAGGAGCGTCACAGCGGCAGAGGCACCTCCTCCGGCGCTTCCCGACCGCCGGTCCCCTCACGGACGGGCCGGGCCAGGCGAGCACAGAACGCCGCCCCCGCTCCCGCTCCCCTGCCGCGCCTCCTGCCCCGCCCCGCCCGGCCGCCCGCGCGGGCTGCCCGGCTGCAACCAACGGCGGCGCTGAGCGGAGGGGGGAAGGAGAGAGCGCCGCCCGGCACAGCCCGAGCGCGTCCCCTGTAACGTGCGCACCACGGCGCTCGCACCACCCCCCCCGCCGGCCGTACCACTTCCCTGCCTGTCCGGCTCTGAGGCGCGTCGGGCAGGATCGTACCAACGCGGCCGAGGGAAAGGGGGTAGACAAGAGGGTGCGTGACAAGGGGTGGGGGCTCACGTTCGAAACGGCGCAGCGCCGGCTCTCGGTCTCGTTGTTTTGGCCGGGCCGTGCGGGGCAGCCGCGGTCTCGTCGGAGCTGTCCCTCGCCGGCTGGAAAAGCGGGAAGGAGCCGCCGGTCCTCCTTAACGCCTTCCCCCGGCGGGACGGGGATGGGCCGTCCCGCCAGGCGCGCGCCCCCGCCCCCCCGCGCGCCGCGTTCTTCCCGGATCGGCGCCGCTGTTGGATTCGCGGGGCGCGCGCGCAGGCAGGCGGGAGCGGGGGCGGGCGCGGAGTCTCCCGGCACCCGCCAGACATGTCGGTGGCGTTCGCGGCCCCGAGGCAGCGGGGCAAGGGCGAGATCACGCCGGCCGCCATCCAGAAGGTGAGGAGGGCGAGGAGAGGCGGGCCCAGCCCGGCCCGGGCCGCCCTGGGGGCTGCAGCTGCCGCTTCCTGCCTCGCGGGGAACGGGGGCGGCGGCGCCCAGAGCGCCGAGGCCCCGGCGGGGAAAAGGGAGGGGGCCGGGCCGGGCTCGCTGTGCCCGGGGTCGGGCCCAGCGGGGCACTTGTTGGATCCGCGGACCGGGGGCGGGCGATGTCCCTGAGCCCCCCACTCCGCCCTACTTCCTCCACCTCGGCTGCCCCGATCGACCCCGCGGGCCTGAATTAACCCGAAGGAACTCGGCCTGGACGCAGGGGAGTCGAATAAGTCCCTTCCTGCGAGGGGGGCCTGACGGTGGGACCGCAGACGGGCTGTTCCAGAGTCTTTGCCTGACTTCGGGCCCTGCGGGGTAAGCGGCGGATCCAGCTCCCAAACTTGGTCGGCCAACTTAATGCTCCCTCCCCCAGAACCTGAGGTGTGATTAAAGAAGAACATCGCTGCCGGAGCCAATGACAGCGGCTCTGGACGACTCCATTTCAGCTTTTGTGGGAGTGAGCAAGTTAACTCGTTAAAGAGCTCAAAGAAAAGCACATAAAGGATTTGTGAGAATCCACAGTGTTTTCTATCAGCAGAAATAAAGGAGTATGTTCAAGTTCCCTAGTAAGTGGGTGGTATTTGGAAACTGTGCTGAAGACTCGCACTCTTGTTGGTGTAGATAGCAGTGAATCAAACACATCTCAGATTGCTACAAGCTCCTTGCGTAGTAGGATCCTTTTGGGTAAATGCAGCTAACCTCTGATTTAATAAAGAATTAGAGCGTCAAAAAGTAGGTGTTTCAGGGATATGGACCTCAAAGGAGACCCCAGAATTATAATGGAGTCCTCCAGGAGAAGTTGGTGCTTGAGAATCGTAGATGAAAAATATATACCCACTAGGTGGAAAGCTGCTCAGAGGTAGTCTGGAGAGACTTCAGGTCACCGGGGTGCTTACAGAAAACGTAGACAAGTTTTTCTTGTGCTGTAGTCAAACCACTAATCTGATGGTGGTGTGCTGGCAAAATCCTAGTGTAGTTAAAGCTGAAGAATCTTCGTAATGTACATAAGGTGTCAGAAGTCCTGGAGGTACCTTCATCCACCTGGTAACTAAATTCTCTTTTGATGGTAGGTGTTTATAACTATTTCAATTTTCTATCAGCAAAGACTCAATTAAACTTGTATAAAATAGTTGTCTGCGGCCCCATCTAGGATACAGTTATACTACTTGTTGCCTTTCCTCTTGGCCCTATCATTTCCCCCTCCCAGCCCTTCTTCCCTAAGAGGTCCAGCTTACATGGCTGCAGTGAAGGATGCAGCCGTCAAGCTGGCAGTCTCAAGGTTGCCTGTCTGCTAAGCCTCTCCTGTGCGAGACATTCTGAGGAGAGCCTTGATTCAAGGCTTCATTTGCGAGTCCTCTATTAGACTTCAGTATCAAAGGTATTATCTCCTGTTTTACTTATTTTTTTTCTGATGAAAGTGGCCACTGTGTTTCTTATAAAAGTTGAAGTTAGTATGTGTGTCATGTGTCTGTGTAGCAGTGGGTTTGTGATCCTCTTTGGGGAGTGCAGCTTCAGCTTTGCCTAGTTTCTGAGGCTCACACAGTAGCTGAAAATACTGCAGTCGTGTCTATGTTTAGTGCTTAAATGTGTTTCCAGATCCAGTAGTTTCAGGCAAAATACTTGCGCTGGGATCATTCTAGTCCGTTCTGGTGGATTCCTGGTTAGCATTTAAGAAAACTTGGCTGGCTGGGTCATTCTTATGTGGATAGAAGGCCTGAGTGGACTGCATAAGGTTTCTGACTCCATACACTTTTCATAGTGGAGGTGGATTAGTCGGGGGGGGAAAAAAGTCAGTACTTCTTTCTTTTTTTTTTTCCTTTCTGTAGAATTTTTGTAGGTTGGATTCCTAAGGAGGTGAAGATCATGTAATGTTGTTGTGCTTTCCTTGTAAAAGCATGAGCCTAGTCATGGCTAGTTTCAAACACCTTTGGAAGGAGAGAGTATTAGAAGTGGTTAAGATTCTATTAGTTTTGTGAAATTCAGCAGCTGGGTAAAGGGACCTAAACTAGCTTTCCAGTAAAAGAAAGCAAAGGAATACATTGATGCAAAATTTCCCATTTGGCAGTAAATTTTCTGTTTTGTTCAGTTGACTTGGGTAACTTGGCTTGTACCTCAGATTATCCATGGTTCTGCTGAGTCTTGTCTGATCAGAACGTGGGATGGGGGTTAAAAAGATAAGAGTGTGGGGATGTGCAGCTCCAGGAAACCAGGCTGGTTTTTTTTCCTGTTTATGTGACTTTGTGAACTTTCTGAAGAAAGCTGTGAGATTGACCATTTCCCATGATTTTTAGACCTACTTTTTTTTTTTTTTTTGGTCAGAAAAATCTAATTCATATGTGTTCATTTTTGTGGACACTTCTGAAGTATAACAGAACTATTGTGCCCGTTTGTCCCGATTCCGGCCAGAACACAGTTAATTTTTCCAGTAGCCAGGAGGGGCATGGCTGGGACTCAGAGGCTATTCTGTACCACCTTACATCAGGGATGTGGGAAGGAGTCCCTTCCAGATCGAATAGCCTGGTGGGGTCGGGTATTTTCAGAGTTTCCAGCAAATTGTTCTTATCTCAACCTGTGATCTTTACCTTTTGTGCCTCCAGTTCTCCTCTCCAGCCACCAGCGGGGCAGAGGGGGAAGTAAACAAGGGGCAGGTGGTTTGGAGTGTTTCAGTGGGAACAATAAATTGGGGAATACCATTCCTCAAGCACACCACCATTAAACCAAATATCTCTAACATGCAGTTTAGTTAGAGATTCTTCATGTAAATACGGCCTAGCTTTCCAGCACATTTCCTTGAAACAAATCTGACTGGTCAGCTCACTTCTCATCAATAACAATTTCAGTGCCTTTTGTTATTAAATTTATAAACAGTTGCAGGCTTTAGAAGGAGAAGGGAAACTTGGGGTGTAAATTTTTAAGCAAGTTTCTTCTTAGCAATCAAACGAAGGAATGCAGAAAACTTCTAAAATTTATAAGAACATGATGCGGATCAGGCAAGTATTTGAACAGAATGCTTCACAAATGTAGCTATGGTAGTGCTATGAAACCCTTAAACTGAAACCAGTAATACTAATTGGAGGGGAAAAATGGGAGCAAAAGAGTGTTTTTTAAATTATTGGTGAAGTAGAGCTTTCTGGATTACTACTTTTTTGTTGTTGTTTTTAAAACCTCTGAGAAGAGGAGCAAGACTCAAAACTTATTTCCACTCTTTCAGCAAAGAATGTGAAACTTACTCCAAACTTCTTCTTTATTGTTTCAGATGTTGGATGAAAATAACCATCTTATTCAGTGTATAATGGACTATCAGAACAAAGGAAAGACTTCTGAATGCTCTCAGTAAGACCTTAATCCATATCTTCTGTGGACTGGGTGAATTTCCATCTAGATCAGCATTATAGATTTGTTTAGCTCACCTTGTAGGAGAACTGTGCTCTGAAGAACAAATAAGTTATGCTACAGATAAAATTTATGTGGTTTTTTTTATTTGCTGTATGAGTATCACTTTTGTCACTGAAATGTTTCAAGTTGCCTACTGCAAGTTGATGTCATGATGACAACACTCATAAAAATTGGGACTGTATAACAAAGATCTTTTCCCTCTGTATCATAATTACACTTTGGGAAAGAGGTAACCTTCTTCTCAAACATTTCAAAATCATGTAGGAAAATGGACCTTTCTTCTTCATGATGGCATGTTTGAAAACTGCCTGCTTTTCACTTGGCCAAGAACAAATAGGCATGTCTTAAATGTTTGACCTGCCAAAATATCCCATGTGGACTTGCTGTCTAATGAGAACTGTAGAAGGAGTCAGTTGTTGAGGAATGTTATTTTCTCATTACCCTTTTCTGGCACAAGATGATCACGGCACCCACGTAATCAAATATGGAGTCATGGGACAGACAGAGCATC